CTTATAAAACTCTCTTATAGGACATTACTATTGTGGTCATACCGAAGTTATCTGAATCTGAATATACAATACCCCGTGAAGCCACTGAAACTATAGCTATCAGGACAAGGTCCCCTTAAAAGCAACGTCTTTATTTTATATGAGCAAAGTGGATTATAGCATAGTGTTTTACTACTAAACTAATTGCATGCTGATATGGACCTTACCTTTCATTACAAAAGGGCCTCGGACCCAAAGCTCCCCTGGCACATCAGGAGGCATGGCAGCCCCTGTTTCTGGATGAACAATCTTCACTTGAGCGCCCCATGAAAGACGTCCCACGGATCCAATTCGCGCGCTTTCTTCCTCCCCAACAGCACGGCAGAAACCGGCTGTAGTCTCCGTGAGACCATACCCCTTTTGCCAATTGGAAATAACAATTCGTATAATTTACAGATAATTGCAAGTGATTTGTATCAACCAGTAACGATAATCTCTGAACTAAGAATCGAAAGGCATCAACTTGCAGGAGCGAAAACAACCTGGGTAACGCTTACGCCGGGGAACATGCGCGAGAAGCGCGCAATGAGGTCAGCTGCGACGGGCGCGCCGCCGCAGTTGACCGTCTTCAGCGTGGCCACGCGGGCGGGCGCGGCCGCGGCCGCGTCCGAGGCCGCGCCCTCCTCGGCGGCGCGCACGATGGCCAGCAGCGCCGGCGGCGCAAGCGCGAGGCGCGTCACGCCGAACCTCCCCATCGCAGCTAGCACCGCCGCGGCGTCGAACCTGCCCCTGGCCGTGTGCAGCACCAGCGTGTGCGCCGGCGACGCCGCCCTGAGGCAGAAGGTGAAGCCGTAGATGTGGAAGAGCGGCACGGCGAGCATGAGCGTCTCCGTCTCCGCGGGCGCCCGCGTGACGTTGGAGGCGATGAGGTTCCGGTGGGTGAGCACGACCGCCTTGGCGCGCCCCGTGGTGCCCGACGAGTACAGCACCGCCGCCGGGTCCGACTGCCGGACCACCACCGCCGCGTCGTCCTCGTGCAGCAGGAACGAGAGGAACGTCGGGGAGTCGAGCAGCACGGTGCGGAGGCCAGGAGGGAGCTTGCCTCTGGTGCCCGCGACGGCGAACGCGACGGACGGGTTGGAGAGCGCGAGCAGGCGGGACACCTCGGCGGCGGTGAGGGACGGGTTGGCGGGGGACACGACGGCGCCGACGGACATGAGCGCGTAGTAGAGCACGGGGACGTGGACTCCGGCCGGCGCGAGCACGAACGCGACGTCGCCCGGGGCGAGGCCGACGCGGGAGCGTAGCGCGGCGGCGAGCGCGCGGAGCCTGGACAGGAAGGTCCCGAACGGGACGGACTCGCCCGTGCCGGCGTCGACGAGCGCCGGGCGGGACGGGGCCGTGGGCGCGGGTAGTGGGGAGGGGAGGAAGGATAGGGCGTAGGCCGGGAAGGAGAGCGGGAGGTCCGGTGAAGGCAGCGGCGGCTCCGGCGTGCGCAGGCTGTGGAATGTCTTCGTGGACGCGCAGTAGCCGCTTCGCGGGTCGATGTCGGCGTCGGACGCGGACGGCGGCATGGTTGTGCTTTGGCGGGGCGGTTGGTGCGCACGACGAGTTCGACGGTGATGTGGGCGCGGTGGCGGGTGGCCGCTGAGGCTAAGGCTGCGGCCGCGTGCGTGGCCACGCTGTGAGGCTTATAAGGCTGTGAGGCTGCTGAATACTATAGTAGGAGAGGAGTCGCTAGCGTGCCGGTGCCGCGTCACTCGACACTTGGACAGCAATAATACAGGATGGCACCTTGTTTTCTAGTAGCAAGATGGAAACAAACTTCCATTCTATCACTCTGTGCAGGCAACTTGCAGGACACGGACACAGTTGCTGCAACAAATTCAGGTCACGCTCCTGTCATGACAAAACGACCGATTTTTATATAGGCCTTGTTTAGATACCCTCAAAATTCAAGTTTTTTCACTCTCTCTCCGTCACATCAATTTTTAGCCGCTTGCATGAAGTATTAAATGTAGGTAAAAAAAATAACTAATTATACAGTTTAGTTGAAAATCACGAGATAAATCTTTTAAGCCTAGTTGGTCCACGATTAGACAATATTTACCAAATAAGACGAAAGTATTACTATTCATCGGGCTGAAAAAAGTTGCAATATAAACGTGGCCACAGTATAGTCAACCCATAGCTGCTAGCGTCTGACTTACCGAATTACTGACACACGGAGTCGAGGTCTTTATGTTTCAGGCCAACCAAACATAAGCTAATTATAAAATTGATTACACGGATAGACATTAATTTGCGAGACGAATCTATTAAGCCTAATTAATCCATCATTAGCATATGGTTACTGTAGCACCACATAGTTTCCGAAAAATACCGTGGCACCGTATTGTCAAATCATGATCTAATTAGGCTTAATAGATTCGTCTTAAATTAGTCTCCATCTGTGCAATTAATTTCATAATTAGTCTATGCTTAAAACTCTAAATTAGTGCCTAAATATCCGATGTGACCGGACTAAACTTTAGCCCGCACATCATTTTAGCTGATCTATCAAAGCTGAATGCTGGACAATGCATTGCTACTACGCTGGGTGGATATTTAGCTCTGTCGCTTCCATCTTTCAGTTTCTGGTTTTGGCGTCAAAATTCTCAATGCAGCACGGAAGAAGAAACTTGAGCGTTAATCTATCTATTGCCATGACATTCTGAATCGATCTACTACCATGGCATTTTCTTCCTGCATAAACATTTGGAGATCTTTAGAAAGGCCAGGCTTGTTGGTTGCAGATCGCAATAATGGTAAGTTGTTAATCCAATAATACTTACTCGTAGAGTGCTGGAGGCGTAACGTGCAGAATAAAACCCTTCTGTAGAACTTCAAACATATGTGGAGAAAAGCCATTTGTAGAAAAACACAAATATATTTTCCTCCCTAAACTATTGCCATAATTCAGGTTTTCACCGAAATCCAAATGTGAGCAAACTATCTCAATTCAACCGTCAAAGCCATTTAAATTACCCCTTCTTGTTTCAGTTATAGGTGATTTCAATATGTTTTCGTTACATTTTAATTAAAACATTAATCCCATGGTAAAGTTTTTAAACCACAAAAAAAGATATCTATAAATTTCTAAAATTCTAAGAGAATCATATTAGGTAGATTGGAAAACAACTAACCCAAACAAGTATTCGGAGCTCATGAAAAAACATACCTAGAAGCTTCGAGAAAGTATATCTAGAAAAATATCCAAAAAATATATAAAATTCCTGAAACATCATAATCAATGTCCGCCTGCATTTTGAAAAGTTTCCACAACAAAAACATGTGATGTGTCCAATCATAAATTTATTATACATTGATTTATGTTGCATTCATGTTGGTTGCATGTTGCATCTCATAATTTTGTTGCGAGAAGTTTTTTAAACACATTTAGACATAGATTGAAATGTTCAGGAAAGTTTTTACATTTTATAGATATTTATCATTTCCCTAAAGTTAAATCTTACTTCTGGAAGATTCTAGATATATTTTGATGAGCTCTAATTTTTTCCGGGTTTATCGTGTACAAATCTATCCATATGATTTTTCTTGAACTTTTTAGAAGCCAAGATATAATTTTTGTGGTTTATTAGAAACCTTATTAGGTGTTGCCATGTTTTTTAATTCGTTGAAAATGTTTTAAGAGTTAAGACAATTTATCCAGTTTTGGAGTTGGATAGAAGAGAAAACGGACTTGCTAGCGTCCGGATGTCCAATCCAGGCACATAGCGTCCGTACGGTGCCTGCACAGCAAGCGAGCAAGCGCACCAGCAATGGGCCCGCACTGCCCGAATGTCCCCCGCACAGCCGGCCGCTTCCCATGCGCATCCCATGTGCAACACCCGATCTACTTTTAAAATATTTAGATGTAACAGTTGCAACATGCAAAAGAAGACAGATGAAACACTTGAAACAAGCATATAAAAACATTTGCAAAAACACCTAAAAACATTTAAAAATCATTGCAAACATATGCAACATCCAGATGAAACACTTTCAAAACATAAGTACGATACACCTAAAAACACTTGAAACATATGCTTGCAATGTACATGTTATGCAACATCGAGATCTACTTTTGCAACATCTAGATAAACACTTGCACCATACGTCTGGAACAGATGAAACATTTGGAACATACAATTAAAACATACGTTTATAGCCATTACAACATGTGCAACATCCTTATCTACTTTTACAACATCGATATACAACGCTTGCAACATAACTATGAAACATATGAAATACTTGAAACATACTCATGCAACATGCGGTTTTCACCCTTATTCTTCCGTATGACACAACACAGAGTGGGGGAACGGCCGATTCCAGCAAGCCAGCGGTTGAGAATGGTGGCGCGGCCTGGCAGCGGCCAGCCGCGCCTGCACCTGGGCCCAACCTGCGACGGCCACCTCTCCTGGCCGCCTGGCCACACACGGCGGCCGGCGCATGCGCGCCTGCGTGGCTGCTGCTGGCATGACACCGTGAGGGAGGAAGAGGTAGTGATGGAAAGCGGTCAATGGCGAAGGAGAAAGGCGAGCATGGCACCGCCAGCCACAAACACCCCACCCCAGTGCCGCGCCGGGAAGACGAGCAGCGGTGTGGGAGAAAAATGTCAGGTAGAGACTATTGGGCCATCTGTACGAGCTGGATCAAATTAAAATAGCGTCCGATAGGCAAAACAGTGTGGACGCCCGCTCAGGAGCATTTTTGAAGAGAATTATGTGATTGTTCAGGAGACAAAAAGAAAAAAAAAGTCAGACGTGACCACCACATCCCAGTTTAGCCTTCCGGCCCAAACAATTCCCAACGTAGGCACATCTACCAAAGCCCAAAGCCTAAAGCCCAGAGCCCACTAATCACAACTCCTCTCGGCCTCTCGAAAAGGTGAGGCCCAACAACACCTCTCTACATCGCACCACAACGCCAGGACACGCCGGTGAGGTGGACGAGAGGCGGAGTCGGCAGCGGCGATGGCGGGCGGCGATCGGGAGCAGGACGCGGAGGAGGAGACGCGGAACCTGATGATGCAGAACCTCTTCGGGGACCAGTCGGAGGACGAGGACGAGGCGGACGACGACGACGACGTCGTCGAGGTCGTCGATGAGGACGACGGCCACCAGCAACAGCTGCAGTCGCCCCCGCAGTACCACCAGGAGCTGGAAGACGACGCCGACGAGGAGGAGGAGGACGACGCCCGCAGCCACGCGCCCGCCCGCCACGGCGGATACCACTCCGTAAGCCCGCCCGTCTCCCTCCCCGTGATTCCGATTCGTCTCGGCTCCTTTGATGTTCCCCGTCGGACATGCCTTGGGCTGGGCTAGGGCTTAGGTTTTCGGATTCGTCCGGGAGCCTCGCGGCTGGTGATGCAGTGTTTTTTTTTGGGGAGGTGTACAGTTGGTGCGAATTTGTTGGAATTCTACTGAGATTTGGAGTCGCGCTTGACCCATTTTTTTAGTTGTGTATGCAGAGAGAGGTTGATGAATACATGATTTTGTTTGCCTCATTTTCTCCCCAAGTCCAGTCGTCTGTACTACGAAATCCAAACACTAAGACAAGAAAAAACAAATTCGAGTTTCAGGTTCACAAGGTCCATGTGCTTCGTCGCATTTACAAGAGGATAGCACATGTTTTCTCTGTTATGTTTTGCTATACGAGTTTCATTGCTACTCGGTTTAGTTGATTTCTACACTCAGCGCACCAATCTGCGAATTACTAAACTGTAAATCTATTTACATTTCGGGGAATTTTGAGTAAGTACCAATTGATATTAACACTGGACCTATCTTGGTGAGAATTCGGGCCACTGTGCTCTGCTTTTGTCACTAAGGAGTTCAAGGTTAACGCTCATGTAATTTTCCTTCTGCCCAAGCTGTTCATCCTTACATACTGCTCCAACCTTCTAATGCCGTGTACTTAAGTAAAGCCTCCTGAGGTAACACTAACCTATTTAATACATATTTATCTAGGAAGAAGTGGATGGCGAGGCAGAGAATGGAGGTGAAGGTGAAGGCGAAAGTGAGGGCCAAGTTGGAATGGACGAGGAAAGTGAAGGCGAAGCTCATCGTGCCGATCTTTATCAAGGAGAAAGTGATGGGGACAAAGTCCAGAGCTCCCCAGAAAGAGAACTCGATGACCAGAGGATGGAACCTGATGCAAGAGGAATGGATAGCGAAGATGAAGGCTACCAGCAGAGGACAGTATCTAGCAGAAGAAGGGGAGTTGTTGCCTCTGAATCCGAGGGATCGGAAGATAATTACTATGCTGATGGAGCTCAAGAAGACGAGGAACCTCGCCAAACAAGGAAACAAAGGTTAGGCGGGAAAAACATAATGCTACATATCAAACTATACATCAGTATCCTTTTTAGGTTTTACAATTTTTAGTACTCAATTCAATGGTTCACAAATGTTTAGTTATTTTGGCAATTACTTTATCATCATACACACTCTTCGTTTATTTTGACTTTATTTTTCTAATCCTGTAGTTGTCTGTAACAGTTATAATCATATTATTATGCAGCTCTCCGATGGAGGAAGAAAGAGATCATGAAGTAGTTCGCGATGTGTTTGGTGAGAGCGATGAAGATGAACCAGCTCCATATCGCGCTCGGCATGAAATTGATGAAGAATCTCATGTAAGATTCGCTCATGTTTTCCGCCTTTTCTATTTGCCGATTTTAGGTAAGTAGGAATACTCGCCCTAATAAAGATTCAAAGTGTGTAGCAGAATCCTTCATCAGGCTTACCCCTAGAGCTTTTCGTTTTTATTTGAACTTCCTGCTTGAAATTATGTCTCTAGATAGCTACGATCTGCTGCATAGCATGTTAGTTTTAACAGAACATAAATGCAGCTTAGCATGCAGAGAATAAACTCAGCAAATTCACTATTTTGTCTTCCTTTAACCTTCAGTATCACCTCACATATATGGATCTGAGATATTTTAAGTTTTCATGAGAGCATTTCTTGTTGTGACTTGATATGTCTGACTGAATGGAAGCTGTGTTTTCTCCTTGTGTCTTGCATGTGTTCTACATGAGTATTGATTCACACTCCAATCAGCTTTGAGAAATATTCATTTCCCTTACCTGTTATCTTTTTCTGTAGCCTTTTCTTTTTCAAACTCCTCTTGTGCTTAGTAAAATTTCTTTTCTTTTCTTTTGTAGAGATCTCCCTTGGAGGATGAAGGCCAGTATGAGAAGGGCATGCAACCAGATGACCTTGTGGCTGATGAAGATATGCGATATGAATCTGATGATAATCGTGAACTGAAACCAAAAGAGAAACCAGTCGGTCCACCGCTAGACTTGGTGGTTCCATTTAAGCAACCACCAGCTCAACCTGACAAAGTGAGTTATTGTCATATGATGATACTCCATTTTTGGCCACATACCATTGCTGTCCTTTTCTGATGAGACAATTTCATGTTGTACATTATTGATGTTTATCATTTGATTGTTCCATTTAACCAATCACCAGCTCGACCTGACAAAGTGAGTTATTGTCATATGGTGATACATTTAATGCATCTTTGGCCACATATCATTGCTGTTCTTTTCATGTTGTACACTATTGATTTTTATCATTTGACTGTTGCTCTCAATTTGAAATTTACATGTTTTAGGGGCATGTAGTTTAATAGATCATTTTTATGAATTTATAGGCTACTGTATATTGCATTCTTTGTGTCCAAGAATTTAATATATATATTTTTAATACTGTATCATGTTTATGTTGCTATATCTGCATTACATTGTTTAATATTGCTTGGTATCTACGATGTTACCATCTCCTGCTTGTTACATAGATGATGTTCTCTAGTTACATACACCTTGCTACCTGGCTAGTGTAATTGAACTGAAGAAGCATGGAACTTGATCATTTGGCTGAGCACTTCGCTTATACTTGTCCAAAAGAGCATGTGTATGGTTGCTGTTCTCTTTATGTTAAATCTGGTAATGTAGCAAACATGTTTTATTTAGAACTTTTCATGCTTTGGCTAGGAATTTTATCATCCACGATCAAAGGTTTGTGCTTCTGTAGCTACTCACATATTGATACTGATTGATCACTAACTGTTTCCTATTTTGTAGATGAATGTGATCAAGGTATCAAACATTATGGGGATCGACCCTAAACCCTTTGATCCAAAAACATATGTGGAAGAAGATGTTTTTGTTACAGATGAATCTGGGACTAAGAAAAGGATACGGCTGGAGGACAATATTGTGCGGTGGAGAACCGTTAGGAATGCAGATGGCACTACATCTGTAAGTGGAATGCTGCCCATGTATCAATTATTCTTGGAACTCACTAACATACTGATGATACTTGGACTGACTCTTCCCTGTCTTGATTTTTGCAATTATTTTGTTTTTAACTGTATTTTTCCTTTTTTTTTATTTGGGGCACATGTGTCCAAAGAAAGCAACTTTACGGCTCACTTTGGCTGCCTGTTAATACTCTTAACATAAGACACCAATCAAATTATCAGTTCTATTTGAGAGTTACATTTAACCTTGTGCAGGTTGTATAGGTGGTTACATGCTTATGATAAATAAATTTCTTTGTTGATGCTTTCTGAGATTTCATTTCTTTTTACTCTGGTTACTAAGCTTTGGGCACATATTTATTGCAGCGTGAAAGCAATGCACGCTTTGTAAAATGGAAGGATGGAAGTATGCAGCTTCTGATTGGCAATGAGGTCCTTGATATATCTGTACATGAGGCGCATCATGACCAGTCCCATCTGTTTTTGAGGCATGGGAAGGTAAACTAAGTCTTCTTTACAGTATTTCTAGTACCACCTCTTTTTTCAATCACCAATGATTAGTTTTGTTGGCACTATTAATTTTGAATTTTAACGCAGGGAATTCTACAATCACAAGGAAGGCTTTTGCACAAAATGCGATTTATGCCATCCTCCTTGTCTTCAAAGTCACATCGCTTATTAACTGCCCTGGTTGATTCTCAGAATAAGAAAACTGTTAAGATGCAAAAATGGTTTGAGACTAAGGATCCTGAGAAAGCAAAAATGGAAAAAGAAAGGGTTAGTAAATCACTAGTACTTCATTCACTGGATGTTATGTAACACACGATGTGCATGTCTTGCTTTTGTCCAATATAGCTGCTTGAACTGAGATCCCTAGTTCAGGTGTGCATTACTTGTGTTGTGCTTTGCTTTTCCTGCCCATATGTTTCTCCTGTTGGTAGTCCTATACATAGTTCCTTGCATGTGTGGTAATTTCTCGAGAAGATTGGAACTATCCCGATGTATACACCTATTGATTTTTCAATTACAAAATTATTTTCTGAAGTTTGTCTTGTATAGTTTTCTAAAGGTCTCATCACCTTAAGCAGGACGAGGATCTAAAAGTAAATATTAGTTGTCACTATGTTGCTAGTGTTATTATGATTTAGTGTGCATGTTCAAATTAGCACCCCCAAAGAAAAAGTTACATCATGCAAAGTGATTGATTAAGATACAAAAAGTTATATCCTGACCATTGAAATAATAGCACTCAAGTCATGTTTCTTTCTGATCTGCTTTTTCCTTTTTGTTAAAAACTGATTTCATATGCATCTGGACAGAGTTTGTTCTTTCTACTGATACGAAAATTATGCAGAATCAGGGCCAAACTATTCGAGCCCATTCGATCCTTCAACGCAAGAGAGAAAAAGTGAACCGCAAGTACACACAACCTGCCCGGCCAAGGCGGCAGCTTTCTCCAGGGTTCTTAGAAGATGCTCTAGATGAGGTTGGTATCTTGTTGTTGAGCTGCTTTTTTTTGACAATTAGATTGTCATGTTATTATTAGCTATTGGTGTAAATGTGCCATTCCTGTTAGGTCCATCTACCCCGCCAAGTGTATTATCCCACTAAAAAGTGAAGGGCGGGAAAAGAAAATTAATAATTAAAAGTTTGTTTTTCGGTGAATATTTGTGATGCAATCTTGCCTGCTGGCAACATAGCAAGAGAAAAAGTGTGCCTAATAACTTCTTTTCCGTTTTTTTTTTCAGTAACTAAACCTTTTTTACGAGCTACTGCATGCACATGCCATACTCATATGTTTCATTTACCACAAAATCAGTGTAAAATGGTTTAAACTTACTCCAGTTATGTCTTAAATGATGATGTATCTTTCATTACGTTGACAGTTTATTCCTGTATGAGGTTACTTCATGGTATGCTAGTTTACTCAACTCTTGAGTTTATTCCTTGATTTAGAAAATAATTTTAGCAGCCATTTTTTTAGATCATTAAGCATTGTGCTGGTTTTTAACTTGTCCCAATAAATTTGTTATTGGATTTGACATGACCAAACAGGATTGCTCTGACCAGCTCTAACAAACTGCCTAGTTTTGGGACATTAATGATGTTATTTTATATCTGTCCAGTAATATCACTATTAGAGAATTGACTAAAGTTACTTATATTTTGGCAGGATGAGGAGCCTGACTATGGTTCTCGGCGAATGGCAGGTCGTAGGCGTTTTGAGGATGAATTGGAGGCTGAAGCACTAGCTGAGAGGCGTATCATTAACGCGAAGAAGGTGAGCAGTTGCGCTCAATTCTCAGTTTTACTTTAACCAAACTTTTAGTATTTACATCTATCTATTTGCTCTGCACATTTTCAGTCAAATATGAGCAGAAATGTTCCCCGCAAACCACCGTACCCTCCTGCTCGTCCACCGAGACGTCAAGCTGATGAATACTCGGAGAGTGAGAGGGAGGAGTCAGAGTATGAAACTGATGGCGAGGATATTGAACATTCACCACGTCGTGGAAGGGCGGATGAGCTGGATGAGGAGGAAGAGTATGAGGAAGACGTTGAAGAAGAAGCGCCTCTGTCAGATGAAGAAATGGAGGTTAGATATCTTGGCCTCAGCCACCAGTGTTTTCTTTTCCATACTTGGTTAGATTCAGGTTCTTCTTAAGCTAACATGTCACAGAATGGAATACTTTACATCAGAAAACAAGGCTTGCGATTGTAGGACTTTTTTTTATATTAGGAAATCAGTTTAGAGGGCATTTCTGTAGTTTCTATATAATCAAATGGAACTTATGATGCAGGCACCGAAACGAAAGAGAGAATCAGGGGGTGGTGGGCACAGGCGTGAGGAGCTGGTGTCCGAGGATGACGACGATGACGATTCTCCACCAAGGAAGCAGCCGGTTGTTCAGCATCGTAGAAAGGCTGTCGTGTTTGATGACAGCGACGAGGACTAAAACTTGTAAAACGTTGATGTGTGTATGACCTGACCTGCAACAGTTTTTTTTTTCTTTTTCTTTTTTTCATTTCTTTCCAAGAATGGTTATCTGGAAAGAAGAGGTTGCAACTGTTATATCCTGGCGTGCCGGTTTATTATGAGATGAAAAAAAAGGGCTGGGCAATATGCCACCATATTACGACGGTCATCGCTAAATTATATGAAAAAATTTCGCACGATGTGCGGAAACTGTTGGTTTGACAATTTTGAACATGAGGTGTCGGCGACGTGAGGATACCTCAAATTGGATTGTTGGTCCAGAATTAAAACTCTCGATGCCAAATCGACAAAGGAGATGCGGCATGTCTCATGGAGGCCGAGCTAGGGCCGGTGACGGGGCAGCGTGGCACATCGGCGCCGCTACTCTTGGCCTGGCGTGCCGGCGGCAGCGAAGCAATTGGTCAGCGCTGCTTCGCTCCCCGCGCATGCCTGGACGACTGTTTTACAATTGGCCAGCGGCTCCTTTTCCCCACAAAGATTCAAACGGCAAAGTACGTATATTCCTCGACTTTGGCCTCGTCTCCTCCGGTGATCTTGTCCTATCCTTTTTGTGCGTAGTCTGACTCTCACCATGGCATCCAGTACACAGCTGTTACATTAGTTTTGCTCTAGTTTATGTACAAAATCTTCATGTCAAGATTAGATGAGAGAGACCCTTAGTTTCATGCAGCATGTTTTTTTATCACTGCTTGCTAATACAATATCATCAATATAAAGTACTAGGATAATAAACTTGCTCCCCTTCACCTTAATGTATATACAACTATCGACCTTATTTTCACTAAAACCAAACTTCCATATCACATTATGAAACTTAATTAAGGTACCATCTAGACGCTTGTTTAAGTCTATAAATGGATTTCTTTAGTTTGTATCCCATATATATATATTCAATAGTCAGCTACAAAATAATAAGTTATTATCGTAACCCCTTCCCTCCTATTCAAGTCTGACAGCATGAAAGCATTCCCAAGCTAAATTCATCAAAGCCTTAGAAAGCCTCTAACCTAACTTTCCCTTAAAAATGACCATGGGCCGAGGCCCTTTCTTACTTAAAACCTGGACCATGTCCCATTATATTTTCTCCATTTTGCCGATCCTTGTTTTCCATTTTAATCCAGGCCCATCTGGCCTTTCCCACGGAACAGGCCATGCCTCCTTCCATTTTCTCTCTTTTTTTTTGTCTCTCTTCCCTCTTATCTTTTCCTGAAGAGCTTTTGTTTCTTCTTGCCAAGGAAGCAAAAGCAACGATCTGTTAGACTGAAAAAAAAAAACAAACGATCTGTTGAGTCGTTGAGCCTGAGCATCCTTGGAAGGAAGGCTGTCGTGTTCGACGACAATGACGACTGTTGGAACCCGTAAAACGTGATGTGTGTGTATGTATGTAGGTATGACGGCCTGACCTTGTACGATTTTGTTTCCACTTTTTTTTTTCTGGAAACAATAATTAATTTTTTCGTTACGAGATGCTATAAATAAATAAATAAATAAATAAATAAATAAATAAAAGGAACAAAGGTGATAACTATACCACGGAATTACTTGTGCCATTGCTACATCATACGTATGCAAAATAAAAAATCCGCATGGGATTCTGCAAAATTCCTTGCCGTGAAGTTTAGTTTGAAGAAATATTGGGAACATGCATGTAGGCGTGTGCGCATCATATATGTATGCTGCAGCTCCACGCCGGAGGAGGAGACGGGAGACCGGCCGGAGCTGCGGCGACGACCGCCACGGAGGATATCGGATCGACTCGTCGTCGGAGACCGGGAGACCGCGTCGTCGCCGACACGACACGGCCGGCGACCGCCACCAGTTCTGCGTCACGTCATTGACGTGACGTCCCGCTTCGATTGCGTTCCGCGGCGAGGAGGCCCCCCCAGGCGAAGGGACGCGTCGCACCTCTGCATGGGAGCCACCCGTCAGGCACTGGGTCGCCTGCTTGCGGGACCCGTCGCCGCGGAGCCCACGCGGCAGCCGAGTGAGGAGTGAGAGGCTGGCAGGAGTGGTATTTTATATTTTTTAATTAATAATATAAATAAACAAGGGCGCAGTTGGAAAGTTCCGTTTCCGTTGGCTTCCGTCGTCCATTGCATTTTTATATATATATATATATATATATATATATATATATATATATATATATATATATATATAATGCAGCAAATTAATGTAACAACGGCATGACGTCACCATGCACATCCCGGCCTGTTCGGCTTACCCAGAAAACGACACTATTTAGCTTGTTTTTTTTCAGTCGGAACAGTGTTTTCCTCTCACAAGAATTCAACCAGAACAGTATTTTTCAGCCACGGTTCAGCAAGCCGAACGGGCCCGTCTTCGTCCGCGCTTCCGAGGCTCCTCCGAGTCTTATCTAATCTCGCATGCAGCACCTAAGATATGTATGATGGATCAACACATACACATACATACGTACGGTGCCTCTCACTAACCACTTCAAAAGTACTGTATTTGTATACTTATTAGGATCTCAATTCTCAAGCTCTTTACCCCTCTGCTATCATGTCACGACATTTTGTTGTCAAGGAAAACAGACATATGTGTAAATGTACGTATACCCTCTATACGCTAAGAATGTTAGGTAAACACGTACGTATGGTCCATATATAATTGTTTTCTCGAAATGAGGTCGTCGTCCAAAAACAAAAGACGTAAGTCGAGAGGTTTATCTCTAGCAATTAATAAGATGAGCCATGTAAGAATGAGACGAAATCGGTGGCTCAATGGTGTGGATGTGGTACCAGCATGATCTCGGAGAACATGAACCGCCGCTAGGCGATGTCATGTGTTCTGTACGTCTATATATAATATTATTTTTCCTTTTTAAATAATAGTTTATAGAATTGTTTATAAGACAAAGGACGACATAGACAAGTCTTCTCAGTAGTTTCGCACTTGCTTAGAGAAGAAATGATAAAAGGACAAATTGGATTATTATATATTATTAAGTGGAAACCATGGACATGTTATCAAACCGAATAAGAAGATACCACCACTTAGAAAAAGAGGTGGTGTATCACATAGCCCCACTCTATGCTACGTGTAATCTATGCAAGTGGGGTTGCAGGGTACATAAAGGCAAAACTAATTAATTCTATCAAGTAGAGGCTACATGATGTATGCATAAATGTATGGATATCCTAGTTTATAATTAAGAACGGAGGATGGGATATTGTCTATAATGATTTCGTTGAAAAAGATTTAGTCTACACTATTATCCTTATATTCTAAGGCATCGAGGAGTTCACTTCTACCAACAATTGCTTAAATGAGCGACGTAAACATGGTGTATGTGTCTCTATGGGTGCTACTAATACCCAAGATGTACTGCTTGGAAGGTGGTGTGTCCTATAAATTTATAATATTATTTATTAAAAAGAATTTATAATGTTATTTGTAGAATATGAGACCGCGGATAAGTGGACACTTAAGTGAAGAACATGGAGACTTGAATGAAGTCACGGGTATGTTCTAGAAATAAAGAAAAGACACCACCGCTTAGTGAGGTAGTATGTCCCACAACCATATGTGACGTGGAGCTATGCATGCAAGCTATGTGTAACTCATGCAGATGTTAATATTCTCCATTGCAGAACTAATAATAATTAAATATTTATTTTCTTGTGCTGCCTAACTATCCAACACACACAAAAAAGATGCCCTCCTATAATAACAAGGATGGGAGAGATCCTTGTTTTCCATTTTAATCCAAGCCCATCTGACCTTTCACACGAAAGAGGCCCAGCATGCCCTGCCTCCTTCCAATTTATTTTTCTTTTTCTTCCTCCGCTCTCTCTTTTCTGTAGAACCCTCTTTTTTTTTGTTCTTCTCACCGAGGAAGCAAAAACAACGGCCTGTTGAATTGAGCGTCCTTGGAAGACTGTCGTGTTCAACGACAGTGATTGAAACTTGTAAAACGCGGTGTATGTATGTATCACGACCTGACTTTGTACGATTTTCTTTCCAGTTTTTTTTTTTTTTTTTTTTTTTTGCTGGAAACAAGAATTTTGTCATTACGAGATGTTATAAATCACACTATAAAAGAGCGAATCTTTTTAGGGGGCTCTCCATCTATAATAACCGATTCGATCTACGCGTCGCGCTTTATATGAGACATCCGTCATCCGTGATCTTACTCTCCCACTTTAACAACCGCATTCGATCGACTACACGTCTCTATATATGAGCCGTCCGTCGTCCGTGATCTTACATGTAAGATGTAAGAGTCCTATTCAATCTCAAATACGTCTCACAGTACGTCTATAATCCCACCCGTCATAAGTCACGTTTATTTTAGGTACATGAGTCAAGTACGACTTCTATCCTTGACGTGCACCATCTTTGTAGGTACCGTATGTACTGTAATTGTGTACTGGTGTGCCGACCGATTGCTTCGCGGCCGCCGGACCCCGCCAGGCCAAGCGTGTGTCGGGCACCTGGACCTGGACGGAGACGGAGAGTGGGCGTCGGTGATTGAGTTGAGTGTGCGGCGCCGGTAGACAAGGTAGCACTAGGCTACACACAGGTTGGATTGGATGTTGGGCCTGCAAGGTTTTTTTGTTTGCTGGGCCGTATCCAATTCAGTTCATATGTATCAGATACATACACGTATCCAGCTGTTTGTTGCTAATTAAAAAAACATATCCAGCTGTTTCTAAAAAAAAGGTATCCAGCTTGATACGTATCCAAGGCCTCCGAGAAAATATTTCCTATATGATTCACGTTCAAATAATTGGACTAAGCCAAAAAATTAAAATTACATGGCAGCTCATAGTGCAAAGCTCAGCCATCTAAAACAAAATTACAACAATAAACTATATTATAAAAATTTGGGGGTAAATATGTATTTTTACTATTTATTCAATTATACATTTTGTTTGTTTTGTGAGTCGATTGGTTAGGCGGAACATCAAACCTGTAACCTAATCAGTATGC